ACCCGGCGGGAACAGGGATCGGTGGGAGGGGGGGCGTGAGGAGGCAGGCGCCGGAGCGCGACCAACTCTCGGGTGACTGGAGTGTATGCGTGGGGGCGACCGTTTAAAGATGGGGGTGGGGGGCTCGAGCTCACGTCCCGATGCCCGGACAGATGCCCGCTACCCCTCCAACTCGTGGACGCGCAGGACGGCTCCCGCCGCACTCACACGCGCAGGGGAGGCAAAGCCAAGCCCTGCGCTCCGCACTCCACGACCCTCAGACCCACGCACTGCGCGGGGAGGGGAAGAAAGCCACCAGCTCGTTCGGCTCCCCCTCCTCTGGGCTGTAGCCTACCTACCCGCGTGCCGCCCCGAGGTTGTGAGGCCAGTGCGCATGCGCCGCGGCTGTTCCCTAACTTCAAAATCCCGTCGGAGAATCTCGCGCGACCTAGTTTTTCCCCTCTCTGACGCCTACAGGCTTCTGACGCATTGTGGTGACTCGCGTAGGGCGGGGACTACGGAAAGGGAGTGAGGAAGGTTCTTTGGGGTTCTAGAACGTGGGTACGTTAAATCCCTGAAAGGTACCCTCGGGGTGCTGGTTGGTAGCACTCACTTCTGGCGCTTTTGCTTGGATTTCTGCGTGGTGCAACAATGAGGCCGTGCCCTTTATGTCAACTCTCCTAAGCATCTCCGCCCCCCCGCCCCCCCTTCCCCCCCTGTCCCAGAGGATAGCTTGAAAAGCTTTGTGTGTCACACGCATCATTAGCTTTGTAGTTTATTAGGAAAACCTGGTAAAATTGAAACGCTTGCAAAGAAAATCACTGACAGTGCCTGAAGTCAACCGCTTCTATAGTCCATACTCCCCATTCCGATGGCTTACAAACAGACACTCATGTTTACACAGTTCTGATGATAATTGCAAATTCAATTTCACCTCTCAGTTTAAAATGTAAAATTTTACAGAATATAAAAATACAAAAGGGGCCCCTGCACTCAAGGTGGGAGACCAAGAAGCTCCTGTCTCCTGGCTTCAGATGGGACCAGCTCTGGCCATTATAACCATTTGGAGAGTGAGCTAGC